TATGTCACTTCTCCATTTTGTCCCTCGTCAGCATCAGTAGCGCTCACTGTCACCACTAAAGTATCTACAGGAGAATTTTCAGGCAGACTGACTTTATAGATATCCTGACTAAAGACTGGAGCATTATCATTAGCATCCAGCACAGTGATGTGTATGGCTACAGTACCTGATCTCGGTGGAGTCCCGCCGTCTACCGCAGTGAGAATTAATGTCACCTCTTTCTGCTGCTCACGATCTAATTCTTTATTGAGAAGGAGCTCACCATATTTTCTTCCATTTGCACGAGTTAGTACATTAAGAACAAATTGGTCGTTGTTTTGAAGTGTATATGATTGTACTGAATTCATACCAATATCCGCATCGTGGGCCTCGTCTAATAAGTAACGATAACCTTTGCCTGCTGATTCCTGTATTTCGAATTTTATTACACTTTGTTTGAACTGTGGTGAATTATCATTCATGTCTTCAATATTGAGAACGAAGCGGTGCAGCTCTAAAGGGTTTTCCAGCACAAGCTCTTGTTTAAGAATGCATGAAGCTTTCTTTCCACAAATCTCCTCTCTGTCGATTCTCTCTGCTACGGTCAGTTCTCCAGTATTCAGATTAATGTCGCAGTATCGTTTTCTGTTACCTTCAGTATCAATTCGAGCCTTACGAGATGACAGTCTGTTCACATCGAGTCCGAGATCCTTTGCTATATTTCCAATCACAGATCCGCGTTTCATCTCCTCCGGGAAAGAATAGCTCACGTCTCCATAAGCGGTGTGCGCCATCAGCACGAAGAACAAAAGGCCAAACATCTCAGCATTAACACAGAACCTTTGGAATTCTTCAGACATTAAGCAAAAATTTAATCCCGTAACCTAATGATTACCATGTACAGGAAAATAAGCATAAAATCAAGTTTAGAATAGACGTAGATAATATCATGATAAAATATAAACACATGAGTTGAAAGCCCCGTGTATGACATCACAAGCAGGGTGGAGAGATGTGTACTGAAGACACACATTGTTTTTCAGGTGAACAGCGACACTATGAGTTAAAACAAGAAACTGCACAATGTTCATATTTCTGACAGGGTTATGTGTGGGCTATATACTGTAGTTAAAATCGTTTAGCGAAACAGCAGCCGGCAGCAACATTCCCTGATGAGTGGGAGATAAACACGACCACAATATTTATAGTATACCCCCCCCCCCCCAAAAATGGGCTATATACTGTAGTTAAAATCGTTTAGCGAAACAGCAGCCGGCAGCAACATTCCCTGATGAGTGGGAGATAAACACGACCACAATATTTATAGTATACCCCCCCCCCCCAAAAAAAAACAAAAAAACAAAAACAAATATGACAGTGCAGCACCATGGACAGAAACTGGAAAACCTGTTTTATGACAGTTCTAATCCGACGTAAAGGGCGTTTAAAAAGTTGCTGACATACGGAACTGCTTATATAAGCCAATTTCACAAAGTAGACACCGATGAGAAAGACGTTACACTACTTAGAGTAGCGTTTTGTCTCAGATTCAGTTACAAACTGCAGAATCCATGTAGAGAGACATACTGATGTCACAAAAATAAAATCAGTTTTAAAGAACTGTTAGACAACAGAACGAGACATATCAGATTTCCATTCTTAAAAGAAAAAAATCATCAAACAGCTTTAAACTTTTAGAATTAAAAAAATAGCTAGAGAGGACATTGTATTTGGCATTTATCATGGCAGATAAACTTCTCTCATTGACAGTTTGTAAACAGAAAAAGGGCCAGTCACTTCTACATCATTTATATTAATGATTATTTAGCTAGCAACGAAAAAAAATCAAACTCGTGAAACAGTATTTATGACTTAAAATTGCTCAAACATGACCAGAAAAAAATCGAAAGATAACTTATAAAGAGAACAAGCTACTTCTTAGCCTTCAAAATGAGCTTCAAAATCTTTAAGAGAATGTTGTCAATGAAAGCAGTCCATTAAAATAAAGATACTTATTTAATCTGTAAGGTTAGAGAAAAAAAAACCAACTTAATTCTACTCGAAAAGCAGCACCCATGTCAGCATCAAGTCCTTCAAAACCACAAGACCACAAATGTAACCATGTCATAACGAATACGTGTAAAACACAACTTATATTTCTGAATATAGCTTATCCATAAACTCTTTTAGGTCTGACATTAAATGTCAAAAATTTAATATAACACTTTTGTTAAAAATGAAATGACTTCACGATATCAAAGGTCCTAGAACTATCAAACATTCTCTGAGGATATAAAAAGAGAAACCAGCTCAATTTCTATAACATCTATACTCATAAAAAACACGACTGTATACAGACCTACATAAAAGCAAAACATCAACAGGAAAGAACCAGGCCTGTACAGCACCATGGACAGCTAATATAAATATGCCCTTTCTACTAAATGTACTATGCCAGTGAACTAGGGTTTACAATGAAGTAAGAATTTAAAGCATTTTATTAAATGATCTCACATAACAGACAACGGGATGGATAAAAAAAAATGTGTGTCCACAGCGGAGAGTGGACAATGATCGACATTGCGTGGGATCACATTTAATGAGTTTATCCTGGACCACATAATGTCTATGATAATGTGTTTTAATTACACAGGGTTCCAAAAATGATAATTACGTAACTGATAATATTCTAGGAAAATTCTCCTTGACAAGACTGCTGAACTTGTCGTTAGGTCACGCAATCTTTTCACCAAAAGAAGCTTTGGCAAATAAAAGCAAAAATCTGTAAACCCCATATATATTCATTCATTTGTTTGTTTGTCCTACCTGAAACGAATTGTTCACTTCCGCATCAAGTCCTTCAAGATCATCCACAGCAGACTGAGTCTTCAGAGTCAGGTCAGCAGTCAGCGTGCCCTCATTATAAGATCTGATGAACTTGAAGTCACTAGTGCGCGAGCCCGTGGTCAGGTATGCGTCATAATTGTAAGCGCTGCGGAGAGTTCCCGCGCCCTCCACCTCTGCGTAATTTGGAGGGAGATACGCGCTGGGAATGGCTACAGCTCCATCAAACAACAGTCTGGGCTTTCTCCTGCGACAAAACCTCACGGCCAGGATGATGATGATGAAGGTCAGGAAGAAAGTCTCGCGGTCTAATTCACCTGTGGTCACCAGAGAATAATATTTTTTTGATTGAAGGTATGAGTTTAAACGGGACGTTTTGCTGAATGGAGCAGAGCACCTGTCCGTTATTCTCAGAGTCTCTGTCCTGCACATTAATGATGCCAACCTCTGTACCGGGTAACGCATTCTCGGGAATAGGGCTACGCAAAGATTTCAATTGTATCTCAGGAGCATTGTCATTAACATCTGCAAGTTCTATCACAACTTTAGCATCACCGGATAAACCAAATCCATCTTTCCCTTCAATGCGTAATTCATAAACAATTTCGTCCTCATAATCTAGTGAACCCGTAACTCGAATGGCACCTGTATTTGGATCTAATGAAAACAGGTTTTTGGCTTTGTCAGAGATACGACTGAACTCATATGTCACTTCTCCATTTTGTCCCTCGTCAGCATCAGTAGCGCTCACTGTCACCACTACAGTATCTAGAGGAGAATTTTCAGGCAGACTGACTTAGCAGTGAGAATGAATGTTACTTCATTTTTCTGTTCGCGATCTAACTCTTTATCTAGTAATAATTCCAAATTCTTTTCTCCATCTACATTTGAACTGATTGTGAGTTTAAAGTTATAATTTTTCTGTAGATCGTATCTCTGAACTGCATTCTGTCCTATATCTTCGTCATGAGCCGCATTCAAGCGATAGCGAGTACCTCTAAGAGAAGACTCCCCGATTTCAAATGTAATCAAATCCTTTGAGAAAACGGGCGAATTGCCGTTTATATCCTGGATTTGAACTGAAACACGGTGCAGCTCTAATGGATCTTCTAGCATGACCTCAAATTTTAAAACACATGAAAGCCTGTCCCCGCAAATCTCCTCTCTGTCGATTCTCTCTGCTACGATCAGTTCCCCAGTACTCAGATTAATGTCACAGTATCGTTTTCTGTTACCTTCAGTATCAATGCGAGCCTTACTAGATGACAGTCTGTTCACATCGAGTCCGAGATCCTTTGCTATATTTCCAATTACAGATCCGCGTTTCATTTCCTCCGGGAAAGAATAGCTCACGTCTCCATAGGCGGTGTGCGCCATCAGCACGAAGAACAAAAGACCAAACATCTCAGCAGCAACACCGAACCTTTCAAATGCGTAAAATTAAACCCAGCAACACAGCGATACGTAAAAATAATACGATACGACATGTAAAAGAAAACAAATGTAAATCTAAACTGAGAAATTAGGAAGAAGTACAGTATAAAAGCCACCATCGACAATTTTCTAAAACGAGACGAGATCTAAGCCCTGTGTTTGACATCACAAGCAGGGTGGAGACTGTACTGAAGACACGCAGTTTTGCAGGTGAACAGCGACACGATGAGTTAAAATAAAAAACTGCATAATGTTCATATCTCTGACAGGATTGTCTGTTATATAGTTTGAATTATTTTTAAAAACAAGAGCCAATATAATTATGTCCAACAAGTGGGAGATAAACATGATCACAGTATTTTTCAGTATTTAAATAAATAAATAAAATAAAATAAAGCCATGGCGGTATAGAAAGTTAAGAGATCAACTTTATAGGAGCAAAATACAATAAAAAACACCAAAAGTGAATGGCAGTGCAGCACCATGGGCAGCCACATGAAAAACCTTTATTCTATTTTCAACCCGAATAAAAGAGAAATTGGCGAGAAAAACGCTAAATTACTTTTTTTAAATACCAACATTTCCTCAAAGATTTAATTACAAACTGCATAAACTATATACTGACACACGGATGTCACACAAAATGTTAAAATAAGCGACTCGTAAAACATTTGACTTACAATTGCTCAAACGTGAGCAGAAAATGTCCTTCAAAAATCACAAGAACACAAAATATAACAATTTTATAAAGAACTCACCTGTAAAAGACAACTCACATTACTGAATGTAGTTAACTTTCATATGTCTGACATTAAACGCCAAAACATGAATAACACTTCTGTTGCAAATTAAGTTGCTTCACAATATCAAAAGGCCTGGCACAACCAAACATTCTCTAAAGATGTGAAGAGAAAACAAGCTCAATCATGTATAAAATCAATCCGTAAAAAACACAAGCAAGCAAACCTATATAGTATAAGAGACCTATATCATACACGGTGCTGAACCACGGACAGCAAACAAAAGTATGCCATTCCTACTAAATTTCGTATTCCAGTAAACTGCCATTTAAAAATAATAAGTATGTAAAGCTCTTTTAAACATGTTCACATAGCAGACAATAAGAGAAGAAAGCAAGGCAGTAAATAAAAATGTATAGAACCTTCTTAGTGATGCATATTTCGTGAGATCACATGACTCGCCTTTATCTTCGCGCACATAACATTATCTTTCGGTAACAGATTAACATTTCTGGAACAACGTGCAATAAATATATAAAATAAGACAAAATTAAATAAAAATTGATTATTATATAAAAATACATTTTAATATAGCACAAACACACATTAAATCTCTAAAACCAAACTATTAAAAATAAATTAAAAAAATAATTTTGCTAATCCTACCTGAAACGAATCGCTCATGTCCGCATCAAGTCCTTCAAGATCATCCACAGCAGACTGAGTCTTCAGAGTCAGGTCAGCAGTCAGCGTGCCCTCATTATAAGATCTGATGAACTTGAAGTCACTAGTGCGCGAGCCCGTGGTCAGGTATGCGTCATAATTGTAAGCGCTGCGGAGAGTTCCCGCGCCCTCCACCTCTGCGTAATTTGGAGGGAGATACGCGCTGGGAATGGCTACAGCTCCATCAAACAACAGTCTGGGCTTTCTCCTGCGACAAAACCTCACGGCCAGGATGATGATGATGAAGGTCAGGAAGAAAGTGGAAACGGACACCAGCGCGATGATCAAATAAAACGTCAGTTTGGAGCTGCTCTCGTCACGAGACATGTCTTTCAGTTCTGGGACTTCAGCCAAGTTATCTGATATAAGTAAATACAATGCGCACGTGGCTGAGAGAGAGGGCTGTCCGTTATCTCTCACGGACACAATGAGGTTCTGTTTCATGCTGTCAGATTCAGAAATGTCCCGCTGCGTCCTGAAAGAATAAGGAACGAGTTTAAACGGGACGTTTTGCTGAATGGAGCAGTGCACCTGTCCATTATTGTCAGAGTCTCTGTCCTGCACATTAATGATGCCAACCTCTGTACCGGGTAACGCATTCTCGGGAATAGGGCTACGCAAAGATTTCACTCGTATCTCAGGAGCATTGTCATTAACATCTGCAAGTTCTATCACAACTTTAACATCACTGGATAAACCAAATCCATCTTTTCCTTCAACAAATATTTCGTAAACGGCTTCGTCCTCGAAATCAAGTGCACCTGTAATCCGAATTTCACCTGTATTTGGATTCAAATAAAAAAGCTTTCTAGCTCTATCAGAGATACGACTGAACTCATACGCCACTTCTCCATTTTGTCCCTCGTCAGCATCAGTAGCGCTCACTGTCACCACTAAAGTATCTACAGGAGAATTTTCAGGCAGACTGACTTTATAGATATCCTGACTAAAGACTGGAGCATTATCATTAGCATCCAGCACAGTGATGTGTATGGCTACAGTACCTGATCTCGGTGGAGTCCCGCCGTCTACCGCAGTAAGAATTAATTTTACCTCCTGCTGCTGCTCACGATCCAACTTTTTTTCTAGCAGTAATTCGATTTTTTTTTCTCCGTCTACATTTGAATTTATACTCAGTTGAAAATTGTCATTCTTCTGTAGACTGTATCTCTGAATTGCATTATGTCCTATATCAGCATCATGAGCCACATTCAAACGATAGCGAGAGCCTCTTTCAGCAGACTCCCCGATTTCAAATGTGATCAACTCCTTTGAGAAAACGGGCGAATTGTCGTTTATATCCTGGATTTGAACTGAAACACGGTGCAGCTCTAATGGATCTTCTAGCATGACCTCAAATTTTAAAACACATGAAAGCCTGTCCCCGCAAATCTCCTCTCTGTCGATTCTCTCTGCTACGGTCAGTTCTCCAGTATTCAGATTAATGTCACAGTATCGTTTTCTGTTACCTTCAGTATCAATGCGAGCCTTACGAGATGACAGTCTGTTCACATCGAGCCCGAGATCCTTTGCTATATTTCCAATCACAGATCCGCGTTTCATCTCCTCCGGAAAAGAATAGCTTACGTCTCCATAAGCGGTGTGCGACATCAGCAAGAAGAACAAAAGACCAAACATCTCACCAGCAACTCAGAACCTTTAAAATCCCTAAGAAATTAAATCCAGCAACACAACGCTAAACACATAAAAAGAAAACAGATGCAAATCTAATTTTAGAGAAGCAAACAGAAGTACAGCATATGAGGCAGTCAACGTCGATGATTTTCTATAACGAGACAAGCTGAAGCCCTATGCATGACATCACAAGCAGGGTGGGGAGATGTGAACTGAATGCACACATGGTTTCGCAGGTGAACAGCGACACCATGAGCTAAAATTAAGAAATTGCATGATGTACATATCTCTGACAGGGTTATGTCCTGTAACATACACCGAACTTGGTATATACCTAAAATTATTTTGTGAAGCAAAAACCAAGCAGTGACATTCACTGATGAGTGGGAGATAATAAAAACCACAGGATTTATGGTACTTTAAAAAAAAAAAAAAAAAAACGCGATAAAGAGGCCTACAGAGTCTAAAAGAAAAAAACACAAACACCAAGAGTAACTGCCCGGGCAACACCATAGACAGCAACAGGAAAACCTGCTCTGTGCTATATCTATTCCGACTAAAAGGTCGCTTACAAATTACTGAACTGACATCGGAATTTAAATGTTTTTATAAGACAAAATTCACATAAAAGAGACATCGATAAGAAAAAGGCAAAATTACAAAAACAGCAACATTTTTTTTTAATTCGATTACATAAATCCGAATCCATATACAAACAAACTGATGTAAGACAAAAACGTTAAAATGTGTTTGACAAAACGGCTAGTCAACAGCACGAGCCAGATTTCAGATTTATTCATTTGTAAAGTTCTTCAACAAAGAGGCTAACTGTAAGCTCTCTGAATCCAAAACATTAGCTATAGCGTAGAAAAAAAAAATAATAACTCAAATACATGACTCGCGAAACATGACTTAAGACTGACCATACAGAAAGAAAAAAATAAATTCATTGGACTATAATTGAACTACTATTCAGACTTTAAACTGAAATTCAGAAATGTTCTTTGGATGAGCCACATTATCTTGCTATTCTAAAGAGACTGCTGTCAATGAAAGCAGTCAAATCAAGAAACATTAAAAGTTCACTAACTCCAGTAGCTCTAACAAATAGCAAAACTTGGATATAACTTGGACATTTTGATGCACATGAAATAACTTAATATCAAGGGTCTGGCACAACGAGTCGTTCTCGTAGGATTTAAGAGTACAAACTCAATTAAAGACCATTTATTTGAGCGATAGAGAAAAAAAGATTGTATGTAGACCCACAATGCAAGGGCAAATCCCTGCAGCAACAGATACTGAGTGCCTGCACAGCACCATGGACAGCAAAAATAAATATGCCTTTTCTACTAAGCTTAAATCGCGGGTGATGTACAATACTTCTGCAAAGAGAACCAGTGCAAAATATATAAAACACTACTTAAATTAGCTACTTATTAGACATCAAACTGATCCTCTAAAATATTCATGTACAAACAAATGAGACTGAGCCACGTAAGATTTTTCAAAAAACAAATCTATTAAATCTGTTAATCAAATCATTAAAAGAAAACAGTATTCCTACCTGAATCGTTCATTTCCGCATCAAGCCCTTCTAGATCATCCACAGCAGATTGAGTCTTCAGAGTCAGGTCAGCAGTCAGCGTGCCCTCATTATAAGATCTGATGAACTTGAAGTCACTAGTGCGCGAGCCCGTGGTCAGGTATGCGTCATAATTGTAAGCGCTGCGGAGAGTTCCCGCGCCCTCCACCTCTGCGTAATTTGGAGGGAGATACGCGCTGGGAATGGCTACAGCTCCATCAAACAACAGTCTGGGCTTTCTCCTGCGACAAAACCTCACGGCCAGGATGATGATGATGAAGGTCAGGAAGAAAGTGGAAACGGACACCAGCGCGATGATCAAATAAAACGTCAGTTTGGAGCTGCTCTCGTCACGAGACATGTCTTTCAGTTCTGGGACTTCAGCCAAGTTATCTGATATAAGTAAATTTAAGAATAAAGTGTTCATTGTTTTGAAGTGTATATGATTGCACAGAATTAAGACCAATATCGGCATCATGGGCCTCATCTAATAAGTAGCGAGATCCTTTGACTGCTGATTCCTGTATTTCGAATGTAACCACATTCTCTGTGAACTGTGGTGAATTATCATTTATTTCTTCAATATTTATAATGAAGCGATGCAGTTCTAGAGGGCTTTCAAGGACAAGCTCCTGATTTATGACACATAAGGCTTTCTTTCAACAAATCTCCTCTCTGTCGATTCTCTCTGCTACGGTCAGTTCTCCAGTATTCAGATTAATGTCGCAGTATCGTTTTCTGTTACCTTCAGTATCAATCCGCGCTTTTCGAGATGACAGTCTGTTCACATCGAGCCCGAGATCCTTTGTTCACATCGAGTCCGAGATCCTTTGCTATATTTCCAATTACAGAACCGCGTTTCATTTCCTCCGTAAAAGAATAGCTCACGTCTCCATAAGCGGTGTGCGCCATCAGCACGAAGAACAAAAAGCCAAACATCTCACCAGCAACGCGAAACCTTTGTAGTGCTTCAGATAGCAAACAAAAATTAAATCCAACAACAAAACAATGAAAATGTACAAGACGACAAATGTAAACTTAAATTCAGAAAAATCGAGAGGACTACACTAGGTATATCAGGCAATCAGTCGCTGTCGACGATTTTCTGTAACGAGAGGAGCTTGAAGCCCTGCGTATGACATCATAAACGGTGGAGAAATGTGTACTGAAAACACACATTGTTTTGCAGGTGAACAGCGACACTATGAGTTAAAACAAGAAACTGCATGAAATTCTTATCAGACAGAATTAAGTGTTAGAACATATAAAGAACGCGTGATGTATTTAGCAAATAATTTTATTGTTATGTAACTGTGTAGCAAAACTAAAGCCAGCAGCAACATTCTCTTAAGTGCAAGAGATAAAGAAGACCACAGTATGTATGTTATTCCAAATCAATCAACCAAACAAACAAGGAAGGAAGGATAGAGATCTATACAAACAAAATAGTCAAACAAGTAGTAAATGGCAGTGCAGCACCATGGACAGCAACACGGAAAACCTGTCCTATGCCATTTCCAATCAGATTAAAAGAACGTTTAAACGATTTCTCTCAAGATAATGTTACTCACATATGAACTTAATTCTCATTCTAAACTAACTGCAACGAAAGACGACGTATACATAGAAAAGTAAAACTGCTTAAATAGCAATATTTTATCGCAGACAATTACAAATGGCAGACTCTGTAAGGAAACAAATACTGACGACTGATGAAATCTTTTAACGAGCGTGACAAAAGCATTAGTCAAAAGAATGAGACAGATGTCCTCGAAATCTTTAAATGATCACTAACAAAACTTATAGAGCTAGACTTCAAAATAAGTCAAAAAGAGTTGCAAAAAAGAATTACCTCATACATGACCAGAAAAAGTGTAAAAAAGAAAAGTCACTTTCAATATTTCAATATACGATCAATATTTTCTAACTCCAAACTGACCCTGTTCATGTGTCTACAATCAAGCATTTTAAAGATTCACGTGAACTGTTAATAAAAAAAGAACATTGTCAAATGCAGCAGTCAATTGAAAACACAAATATTAAATTTCCACCAAATTATTTTTTTAAAGTAATACACAAGTCCTACCTGAAACGAATCGCTCATATCCGCATCAAGTCCTTCAAGATCATCCACAGCAGACTGAGTCTTCAGAGTCAGGTCAGCAGTCAGCGTGCCCTCATTATAAGATCTGATGAACTTGAAGTCACTAGTGCGCGAGCCCGTGGTCAGGTATGCGTCATAATTGTAAGCGCTGCGGAGAGTTCCCGCGCCCTCCACCTCTGCGTAATTTGGAGGGAGATACGCGCTGGGAATGGCTACAGCTCCATCAAACAACAGTCTGGGCTTTCTCCTGCGACAAAACCTCACGGCCAGGATGATGATGATGAAGGTCAGGAAGAAAGTGGAAAAATGATGCCAACCTCTGTACCGGGTAACGCATTCTCGGGAATCGGGATTTTAAGAGATATAACCATAATTAAAGGGGCATTATCGTTGAGATCAACAACTTCAATTACCACAGTAGAATAACGGGCTAACCCTTGGCCATCTTTAGCTTGAACTGGCAATTCAACTGAGCTTTCTTCTTCATAATCAAGAAGCCCCGTTAGTTTAATCTCACCAGACAATGCATCCAGCGAAAATGTTTTCTGGTGGGTTTCAGATAAATGTCCAAATTCATACGTCACCTCTCCATTATGTCCTTCGTCAACATCTGATGCACTTACTGTCACCACTACAGTATCTACAGGAGAACTTTCAGGCAGACTGACTTTATAAACGGCCTGACTAAAGACTGGAGCATTATCATTAGCATCCAGCACAGTGATGTGTATGGCTACAGTACCTGATCTCGGTGGAGTCCCGCCGTCTACAGCAGTGAGAATGAATGTTACTTCATTTTTCTGTTCGCGATCTAACTCTTTATCTAGTAATAATTCCAAATTCTTTTCTCCATCTACATTTGAACTGATTGTGAGTTTAAAGTTATAATTTTTCTGTAGATCGTATCTCTGAACTGCATTCTGTCCTATATCTTCGTCATGAGCCGCATTCAAGCGATAGCGAGAACACTTTCAGGCAGACTGACTTTATAAACGGCCTGACTAAAGACTGGAGCATTATCATTAGCATCCAGCACAGTGATGTGTATGGCTACAGTACCTGATGTCGGTGGAGTCCCGCCGTCTACCGCAGTGAGAATTAATGTCACCTCTTTCTGCTTCTCACGATCCAACTCTTTATCCAATACAAGCTCTCCATATTTCCTTCCATTTTCCCGAGTAACTACGTTTAAAAGGAAGTGTGCATTGCTGTCAAGTTTATATGACTGCACTGCATTCATACCAATATCCGCATCATGGGCCTCATCTAATAAATAACGAGAAGCTTTGTCTGCTGATTCCCTTATTTCGAAATTTATTAAAGTTTGTTTGAATGTAGGTGAATTATCATTTATGTCCTCAATATTGAGAATAAAGCGATGCAGCTCTAAAGGATTTTCCAGAACGAGCTCCTGTTTTATAACACACGAAGCTTTCTTTCCACAAAGCCCCTCTCTGTCGATTCTCTCTGCTACGATCAGTTCTCCAGTATTCAGATTAATGGCACAGTATCGTTTTCTGTTTCCTTCCGTATCAATGCGCGCATTACCAGATGAAAGTCTGTTCACATCGAGCCCAACATCTTTTGCGATATTTCCAATCACAGATCCGCGTTTCGTCTCCTCCGGAAAAGAATAGCTCACGTCTCCATAAGCGGTGTGAGCCATCAGTACGAAGAACAAAAGGCCAAACATTTCTACAGCAAGAAAAAAAAAACCTTTGGAATGCTTGACAAGTTGATCAAAAATTAAATCCAGAAATACATCTATTAACATGTAAACGAAAACATTAATGTACGAATGAATTTAGAAATCTAAACTCAATCCCTGATATACAATTCTTCTGTCACCGTCGACGATTTCTCTAACAAGACGAGCTTGAAATCCAGTGTATGACATCATAAGCAGGGTGGAGAGATGTCTATTGAAGACACACATGGTTTTGCAGGTGAACAGCGACACTATGAGTCACAATAAAGAAACTGCATAATATTGACATTTCTGACAGGATTAAATCTCGGAATAGGATCATACAGAGAACACGCGCTGTACATTTAACATCATTCAGCAAAACAAAAGCCAGCAGCAACATTCTCTGAAGAGTGAGAGAGAAACACGAACACATGATGAAAGGTATTGAAAGAAAGCCATGGCAAGATAGAGTGGTACGAGCTATTATAATGTAAAAGGAAAAAAGAAAACAAAGACTACGACCAAATGCCAGTACAGCACCACAGACAGCCAAATAAATCCTGCCCTATGTCACTACCAAGTCGACTAAAAAGACGTTTGCAATATTTCACTGAATGGAATGTTACTGACATCTGAGTTTAATTCCATTTATAAATTATCAGCATATAAAGGAGTAAGGAGACAAGGATCAAAGAAACATAAATCTACTTAAAATATCAACATTTTAGAACTGATTCAATGAAAAATATCAGAATCCATACGAACACCCAAAATGACCATACCAAAATTGCTAAAATAAACGTGATGATTAGTTAACAAAATGAGACAAATTTGATTACTTTCCTCTAAACATCACCAAACAAATGCAACCTCTTAGAATCCAAAATAGCTAATGTGAAAAAGAATACAAAACAAGTAAAAACGCATAGATTCGTGCAGTATGCCCCATGACTTACAACTGGCTACCTGACGAAGGAAGGAAGGAAGGAAGGAAGGAAGGAAGGAAGGAAGGATGGATGGATGGATGGATGGATGGATGGATAAATACATCTTAACTCAGGTACTTCTCTGACTTCAAAACGGCACTCACTTGTTTGCAATAAAACACATGAAAGACCCCAAATATTTCGTTAACAGAGTCTGCTGCCAAAGAAAAAAGTAAATTTAAAAGACAAACACATAATCTGTAAGTCAAATAATAAAGTGCATTTTAAAAAGAAAGACTTGGTAACTCCTACCTGAAACGAATCGCTAATTTCCGCATCGAGCCCTTCAAGATCATCCACAGCAGACTGAGTCTTCAGAGTCAGGTCAGCAGTCAGCGTGCCCTCATTATAAGATCTGATGAACTTGAAGTCACTAGTGCGCGAGCCCGTGGTCAGGTATGCGTCATAATTGTAAGTGCTGCGGAGAGTTCCCGCGCCCTCCACCTCTGCGTAATTCGGAGGGAGATACGCGCTGGGAATGGCTACAGCTCCATCAAACAACAGTCTGGGCTTTCTTCTGCGACAAAACCTCACGGCCAGGATGATGATGATGAAGGTCAGGAAGAAAGTGGAAACGGACACCAGCGCGATGATCAAATAAAACGTCAGTTTGGAGCTGCTCTCGTCACGAGACATGTCTTTCAGTTCTGGGACTTCAGCCAAGTTATCTGATATAAGTAAATACAATGCGCATGTGGCTGAGAGAGGGGGCTGTCCATTATCTCTCACGGACACAATGAGGTTCTGCTTCATGCTGTCAGATTCAGAAATGTCCCTCTGCGTCCTGATCTCTCCGCTGTGGACACCGATAGTGAAAAGTCCCGGATCGGTTGCTTTAATAATGTGATACGAGAGCCACGCGTTCTGGCCAGAATCCGCGTCCACGACGATCACCTTGGAGACCAGGGAGCGCGCCTCTCTCTGTCGATTCTCTCTGCTACGGTCAGTTCTCCAGTATTCAGATTAATGTCGCAGTATCGTTTTCTGTTACCTTCAGTATCAATTCGAGCCTTACGAGATGGCAGTCTGTTCACATCGAGTCCGAGATCCTTTGCTATATTTCCAATTACAGATCCGCGTTTCATCTCCTCCTTAAAAGAATAACTCACGTCTCCATAAGCGGTGTGCGCCATCAGCACGAAGAACAAAAAGCCAAACATCTCACCAGCAACGCGAAACCTTTGTAGTGCTTCAGATAGTAAACAAAAATTAAATCCAGCAATAAAAAAAAATGATGCAATTGAAAAAAAAAAAGTAAAAAATCAGAAAAAAATGAGAAAAGTACACGACATCAGGCAATCAGTCGCCGTCGACGATTTTCTACAACAAGAGGAGCTTGAAGCCCTGCGTATGACATCATAAACAGGGTGGAGAAATGTGTACTGAAAACACACATTGTTTTGCAGGTGAACAGCGACACTATGAGTTAAAATAAGAAACTGCATGACATTCTTATCAGACAGAATTAATTGTTAGAACATATAAAGAACGCGTGTTGTGTTCAGCAAATTATTTTATTGTTATGTAATTGTGTAGCAAAACTAAAGCCAGCAGCAACATTCTCTTAAGTGCAAGAGATAAAGAAGTAACACACAGTATGTGTGTTATTCAAATTCAATCAATCAACCAATCAAACAAACAAACAAACAAACAAGGAAGGATAGAGATCTATACAAACAAAATAGTCAAACAAGTAGTAAATGGCAGTGCAGCACCATGGACAGCAACACGGAAAACCTGTCCTATGCCATTTCCAATCAGATTAAAAGAACGTTTAAAAGATTTCTCTCAAGATAATGTTACTCACATATGAACTTAATTCTCATTCTAAACTAACTGCACAGAAAGATGACATAAATAGATAAGTAAAACTGCTTAAATAGCAATATTTTATCGCAGACAATTACAAATGGCAGACTCTACAAGGACACATATACTGACGACTGATGAAATGTTTTAACGAGCGTGACAAAAGCATTAGTCAAAAGAAAGAGACAGATGTCCTTGAAATCTTTAAATGATCACTAACAAATAACTTTTACAGCTTGACTCCAAAATAAGTCCAAAAGAGTGGCAAAAAAGAACTACCTCATACATGACCAGAAAAAGTGTGAAAAAAATAATTTTCAATATTTCAATATACGATCAATATTTTCTAACTCCAAACTGACCCTGTTCATGTGTCTACAATCAAGCATTTGAAAGAGACACGTGAACTGCTCAGAAAAAAGAACATTGCCAAAGAAAGCAATCAATTGAAAACACAAATATTACATTTAAACAAATTAAATACACTAAATTATTTTTAAAGTAATACTCAAGTCCTACCTGAAACGAATCACTCATTGCTGCATCAAGCCCTTCAAGATCATCCACAGCAGACTGAGTCTTCAGAGTCAGGTCAGCAGTCAGCGTGCCCTCATTATAAGATCTGATGAACTTGAAGTCACTAGTGCGCGAGCCCGTGGTCAGGTATGCGTCATAATTGTAAGCGCTGCGGAGAGTTCCCGCGCCCTCCACCTCTGCGTAATTTGGAGGGAGATACGCGCTGGGAATGGCTACAGCTCCATCAAACAACAGTCTGGGCTTTCTCCTGCGACAAAACCTCACGGCCAGGATGATGATGATGAAGGTCAGGAAGAAAGTGGAAACGGACACCAGCGCGATGATCAAATAAAACGTCAGTTTGGAGCTGCTCTCGTCACGAGACATGTCTTTCAGTTCTGGGACTTCAGCCAAGTTATCTGATATAAGTAAATACAATGCGCACGTGGCTGAGAGAGGGGGCTGTCCGTTATCTCTCACGGACACAATGAGGTTCTGTTTCATGCTGTCAGATTCAGAAATGTCCCGCTGCGTCCTGAAAGAATAGCTCACGTCTCCATAAGCGGTGTGCGCCATCAGCACGAAGAACAAAAGGCCAAACATCTCACCAGCAACACCGATGCCTCTAACATTCATATCGGGGAAAAAGAAAACAAAAATGACTTGATATGAAATCAACATAGGTGTGAACTACATTTAGGAAATGAGATGCTAAAAAAGATTGGAGAGTCACAATGTCTACGATTTTTCCTACGATGTGAGCTGGAAGCCCTGAACATGACATCAGGAACAGGGTGGAGTAAAGTACAATATGAAATGAAATGATTTTACTGGTGAACAGCGACACTGTGAGTTAAACTGAATAACTGAAACTGCATAACGTTCACAACTTATTTATAGTGAAGGAGAACACTTGATTATATGATGGTGATATAAAAACAACAACATGGCTATATATAGTGCTAGATCATTAAAAAGCAAAAACCGATAGAGGCTTATTAAAGGCTTCTATTAAAGTCATTTTACATTTTTGAAGTCTTGTGCTTGAGTGAAAGCTACCAAAGCCAGGAATATAAAACATGCACCTGATAAAACATTTAAATGCGCATACATTTTGCTATCGACAAGGTGAGACGAGACAAGGCCTTTAACTGGATATGGACGCGTAGCTTAATGTTTTAAAAACAAAATGAAAAGGAAAACGAAAATATCCAATTGCTCAAAAAACTTCAACGTGTATTCATTCAAAACTGAACAATTACTTCTCTATATTTCTCTCTCTTCTATTTTAATCACTCTGAAACAAAAGTATCAGCCAGTCATGGGAAAACTTAAAGTAAAATTGTGCTCAAATCAATAAGGCACACATGAGTGTCATGATTGCAAATTGTGAATAAAAGACAGATCAAGTACTTAAAGTAGTTAGCAATGTAGGCTAAATTTCAGAACTAACATACTCCCAAAGTATTCATACATGTATACAAAAGCACAGAGGGAAAAGAAAGAAATAAAGAAAGAAAGCATTTTAGGCCGTTTTCTGTACAAAAACAAAAGCAATGAACGCATTCTCTTATAGAAAATGCACATTTTCAAATTTACACCATTGCATTAAATAAACATATCATTAACCTTACCTGAAACTAATCACTCATTTTCTCATCAGTCCATCCAGGATAATCCACAACAGATTTACTGCATAACTTGGAGGGAGATTCGTGCTGGGAATGTCTGCAACTTTTCAATTTCATATCTTTAGAAGAAGCGCAACATCTTTTGATTTCATATCACAGCTCAGTGTTTAAAAGTAAACGTGGGCCTACATTAAATCTGAAGCATGAGGCAGAAGTACAAACGATCAGAAAATGAATAACTGTCGACGATTTATAAAAAGGCAAGCTGGAAACCCTACACATGACATAACGAATATGGCGGAGGAGAGCAGATCACAATATATTTCTCGTTTTGCTGCCGAACAGCGACAATGCGCGAGTTAAATGAAAACAATATATCATTTGACAGGATGAAGAAAATTACATTAACTAAATTACTTCACAAAACGACCTGCCTCAATGTGCTATACTTTAGCAATGCTCAAGAACACAAATTCCTGTAATGTAGTTTCAAATATGCCACAACGGTATACAATACAGCTGCATCATAATAAATACTCAAAGCCAGACTCACTGTGCAGGACCATGGACAGCGACACGCACTACTCTATCTCATAAATAGAAATGCCATTTTATGTTTGAAGTGAAATAAACTGCCTTGAGAATTAACATATATTTAGAAGTTAATTCCATATTAATAACTACATTGATGAGAATACAAAACTGGACCAAAATATCAACAACGATACCCTATTCCTTCTCCAACTTACAATTGAAAATGTAAACTGGCAAAGTAAAGTTTACTGACATTAGAATGTACAGCGCTGTAAAAAATGTTAAAATTTAAAACTTATTTATAGGCTAATTGACCAGAGAAGACTTATTGCTCGATGATTTCAGAAACACTTTTGATATTTGAAATTGAACCCCGAAAAAAACACACACCTCCCTTCATTGCTCTGCCCCCAAATTCATGCAACACAGGCAAAGACTAACAGATCGCGCATCAGACAGCTCGCCTGTTACTAACATTACAACAACAGCATATATTGGTTATGTGAAACATAGCAAAACCAATTTTCCTCACGTGTGGAGCAAATATAAAGCAACCCCGGTGTCTGTTTTCAGGCCTTCCCGCTCTCTGACGTTTATCCAGCGCTGGAATACTTTTCCAATATTAAAGCGGGTGCTAGCACTTGCCTGATCATAACCCATATTTTTCCAGCTATATTCCTCTGACCTATTCCTGCTCACTCTCTCTATAAGCCTACTACACAATATGAAACTATGAAACAATACAGCAAACTATGAAAAAGTTCTACCTGAAACAAATCTGCTTAATGTTTTTTTCAGAGTCAGGTCCTGGGGAAAGGTGGGAACGATTTCCACTCCGAGAGTGAATTGAATAGACATGATACATTTATTGAAGTTATTCTTGTAGGTTTAGTACAGTTTGAACTCACAGGGCGGGTTATGTCACCGTATTTTGCATTATGTTTTTAAAATGCATAAGCTATATTCCACTACTGGCCATATTTCCTTGCTGCTCCACTTTTGAACCAATGAGCAGATGGCGTAGAGCAGCGGCGCGCAGTGAGTCAGGCTGGAATTACATTTCAATCTCCTGCGCCTCACGTCAAACAATTCATCCACCTGCATGTCAGATGTAGAGAGGGGTGAGCCTGAACATATATGTTCTTAATTGTTAATAATAATTATTGTTTTTGTTTTTTTTTAAAGCAGAACATATATAGTTGTAATTATACAACATCTGCAAAAATCATATGACAGCTGGGATGCTCAGTAAAACAGAAAATGGGGATGAACAGATGTGGATTTACCTCTAAATTGTAGAAAACTAAAACATGACTTTAACACAAGTTGATGATGCATCATCCAATATATTTTCAAGGAAAACATTCTCCACAAATACTCCAGAATAGAAATACAACGTTAATATCCAACGTAAAATAAATTCATGCATTTATTTTAACCTGTTAAAATGTTTTGAGATGGCATTTAATAACACCTATGGTCAAGAGAAAAACTGTGTGTGTGACCAGAAGTATAAAATCTTGCAACACCATGCAGTGACATTCTAGATAACTGTATAGTTTGTAGAAAGACTGGATCACAATATTAAACAAACAAACAACAATATCATCAATAATAATAATAAATAACCAACTGTATTTCAAATAGAAGCATGCATCAAAACTATAATATTATTATTTTAATAGTAATGCTAATTACAGTGTTTCTCAATCACTTTGGCACATTTTTCGAAACAGTCTTAACACTGCCTAAACTGTAAGTGCAATTGTCACAACTGTTTGCTGGAACATCAGAACACTATTGCATGTCTGCAAAAACTCACCCAAAACATTTAATTCATGACTTGAAATGTAATGTATGTTCATATACGTGCGACGGGTGTTTTCATACAAAAGACTTTCACAAAGTATGCACCTGCCTCCTCCTATCCCGCCTATGCTGTAGGCCTATCCATGATGGCGCACTTCTACCGATTTCCGGTTCACTGGCTGGCTGTAAAGAGACTGGCTGCGTTTCACTTCGCTTTTTTTGTGCCCTTCCTTCGCTAACTTCCCTCCCTCTCGTTGACTTGGAGGTACGTCATTGATTACGCTGCACGATAAGTTCTTGATCAATTGGAATCCGCTTTGGAGTATATAGGTATGTTTGGGCTGTTTAAAATAATTTAAAAGTAATTCAAATATCGTAGAGTTGTTTGGGGTGTGGGTAAATTAGATCTGCGGTGACGTCACAATTGTGTTGCATTGTGGTATGTGGAGGAGCTGCCTCAAGTGTGAAGTAGACTCGCATCCCCGGTCAACGCATTTCAAAATGGCAGTGGGGATTCCCCCGAGGGGAAGTGCTTAGGGAAGTTCGCCAGTGTGTGTCTAAAAGCGAAGTGGAACGCAGCCAATGAAGAAATAGGAAGGACGCATCAAACACACACCCACATACATGATAAAAATCCTTATTTTCACCATAATTTGCTTCATCATTATGCGTACACCAAGCGAAACTACAATTAAATTGATTAATGAATTAATTAAAAATAAAAAAATGTAAATGTAAAAATAAATACCGATGTCATTTGATTTGAGAACCTGAAAAATGTAATTACCTAATCCTATATCTATACTATACACACACACACACACACACACACACACACACACACACACATACATTTCTTGTATGATACATTTTATACATTAAAGTACACAAATCCCCAGCCTTATCTTTCCCACTTAATTTTTCATTATTTTATTTTATCATTTTTTTGTCGTTTATTTGAGTATATGAAAATTTTATGAATTCTCATTATTTTTGTCTTTAAATTTCGCAATTAATAATAAAGGTATAAAACAGGCAATAAAGGGGAGGGTAAAGTCAAACAATAGCTACTTATTTCCTTATTCTGAATCCATAAACCTCAAACACACACAGATCGTTAAAACACACACACACACACACACACACACACACATACATTTCTTGTATGATACATTTTATACATTAAAGTACACAAATCCCCAGCCTTATCTTTCCCACTTAATTTTTCATTATTTTATTTTATCATTTTTTTGTCGTTTATTTGAGTATATGAAAATTTTATGAATTCTCATTATTTTTGTCTTTAAATTTCGCAATTAATAATAAAGGTATAAAACAGGCAATAAAGGGGAGGGTAAAGTCAAACAATAGCTACTTATTTCCTTATTCTGAATCCATAAACCTCAAACACACACAGATCGTTAAATGCTTACAGGCGGTGGCGCTGTTTAGTCGCACAAAAATGTAAGCAAACTCAATATCTCAATGTGTGTGTTTCAGTACAGTAGATACCAGATGTTGAGACGGGGGTTAAAAAGAAAGGAAATATGCATAAAATTGTCATGTTTACAAAAAAAAAAGTTTTATCGTTTATATGACTCGTTTATATGACTATTTTTTTTTTCTTAATCTCATTATTATTTATTAATAATAAGTATTCAA